GGGGGCAGTACTTTTCTCACGATGTATAATGCAAATAATGAAACTGCTTCGCAGGTCTATTAGCTTGCCCCAGAGAAGTCTCAGCGTTGCTGAGGGTCCCTAGCTCCTGTGAGAGGTCTTGAACTAAATACCCTGGGTTACAGCAAAGACCAGGAGTGTGCAGTTGGAGTATCTCTGCTCCTTTGGGGAAACACGTCATGTCTTGGTGACTATGAATGGATAATGTTGTCGGCATAAAATCAAGGTGCCCTCCCTGCCTGTGCCAGCTAAAGAGCCGGCCCGGGCAGCCAGAGCAATGTGCACAGAAGATAGCGAAGGGGAAGTGGAGAATGCCCTCTGTTTTCACAAGATTAGAAATCAGGACCTTTACCACCAAAAAATGCCCTCTGTGGTGTTTTCAAAAGGTTAGAAATCAGAACTTTTACTACCAAAATCAGCCGGTGATACTTCATGCGCATGGTGTAAAGACAGCAGCTGGAAGCATATCAGATTGATGTCTCACTCCTTGGATCGGCATACGTGCAGTACTAGGATCAGCAGCAAATCATTTTCTATTTGTTTTAAAACTGGGTAGCTGATGCTATTGGCTAACTTTTTTTGTTGTTGGTCACCTGTCTGATAGATGCACTGTTTGGTTGTATCAACTTTGAGCATAGATTTAAGTCATCACGTGACGCTTAAGATCATTTGGAACTTACCTTCCAGCTTTCCTGAGCACCTGCCCTATAGGGTCGTGCCAGTATAGTGTCAGAAATGAATGGGGCTTACACTACCTCCCCAACACACTACTGACTTTCTGTCCTTTCTTTGAGTATCCTAGCCTTGGGTATGGGCAGATTAGACCAAGATTTACAGAAGTGGGTGGTGAATTTCGCAAGGGATTTGGGTTGTACTTTTCATTCTTGGAGAAGATCTGAAAAAGCAGTGTTTCCAAGCAGGCAGTGCTCAAAGGGGATTTTTCATGAGCTCTCTTCCCATTTCTTAGGGAATGTCACGTCTGCCCTAGACCCTGTTTGGTAGCTCATGTGTGAGCAGCAAAAAGGTCTTCTCCTGTCTTTTAAACACACAGCAAGTATAAGGGAACTGCCAGCCTCTGCCAAAGCATTTTTATTCCGAGTCATTTGCATTTTTGGGTTATGTAAGCATGAAATCAAAGACACAGACCTGAGTCAGATGCTACGTTGTAGTTCTAAGTCAAGGTCAATAGTGACTCCGTGTACATGACTGGACCCACTCTCTCCATGCTGGTCTACTTTTTTTTTTTTTTGCTGGCCTACTTCTATAGTTTACCTTTCTGGTCTGCTAGTTCAAGTGTAGTGTGGAATGTTTTTGTTATGAGTAAAAATTCATTTAGATGTGTTGTTACTATCACAGCGATTCCGTTAATTAAAAATGTAATGATACTGTTTTAGTGCTACACTCTGGGGTCAAGTCATGTATGACGTGGGCCCTGGTGCACACTGAGCTCCAGGACATAGGGAAAACAAGAATATTTTGAAAAAGAAAAATGAGCAGGGAAAGAAATTCGAGTGGAAGGATCGGTAGAGGTTAGCCACCTGGTAGCTGCCTCCCAGCATCGAGCAAGGGGGAGAAGGCAGGACCCGGGGAACATAAGCACTGGCGCTCATCCCATGTGTCAGGTTCCTTTTGGAATTTGGTAGCTATCTCTCCAAAATAAGGAGGCTTAGCCTGAATAAACTTCCGTCTTAGAAATCATCACCAATGCAGTCACCATCCCCCTGTGTGCCCAGCTCCTCCACTGGATTTTCTCTGAGAAACCAAGGAAGTCCATCTTAAGTATTTCTGCATCGTCAGTTCCAAGCATAGTGTCAATCAAGTGAGTCTCAGTCACCGTGTTGAAAGAATACAACGAGTGAATAGCTGTACATTCTTTGCCAGACCCACAGTTATGTTTTGTGGAACAGCTGAGTGCCAAGTGCAGGCTTGAAAGGTGCTGAGAAAGAAGAGCCTCTGGCCTTCCCTCATATCCGTTGTTGTGTCCTGTCAGCCGTTCTCTTCAGGAGGTATTTTCCCAGTGCCTGTGCAGTCCCCTTCTGAGTGCCCAGTAAGCGCCTGGAGGTCACTGAGGGTGATCAGGCAGAGCAAGACAAGCTGTGCAAATGGGAGGGAGCAGACAGATGGCTCTAATCCTATATGTTTATGTCCACTCAGCAGGATATGGAGGGTGGTAACCTAAACTAAACCAAACTCTTGGCCATCGAGTCCTTTCCAACTCATGGGGTTCCAAGAGTTTAACTCTTGCTGGGAGGGAAAGCCAGTATAAGAGGACTCCATGCCAACAGATCGGAGAAGCACTCACAAGACCTCCCAGAATTGCCTGTGTGAGCCTAAGAGGCTAGACCCTTATCAGGGTTTTCCCCGTGCCAGGAAGACTCCACTTGGTGTGTTTGGGGTGTTGCCAGCAGTGAGCTTGAGCAGACCAGTGTGGTTTTAGATGCGCTGGAGTCCCAGACGTTTGCCGTGGAGATCATGCTATGGTAGGAAGAAGTGGGTGCAATAGAAACACCGCCAGGAGGAATCTAAATCCAGAGATCAGGAGAGATTAGGGAAGGCTTCTTGGAGGGGGTGGTGGATGGGAAGGAGGGAGGAAGGAGTGCTGAGGAAACTAAGACTGGGACTCTGGTTGGAGCAGATTGCAAGACTAGTGGGAGAAGACCAGGAAGACCGCTGCACGTTAACAGGAGTATCTTTATATAAGGCAGTAAGGGGTCAGGAAAGAGACATGATAGTCTTTGTGTTTCAGAAAATTCACTCTAATGACAGCATATAAAGGACAGATACCAAGATAAGGTGGGGGTGGGGTGCCGTGGGCAGGACAAAGCAAAGCCAGACTGGCTAAGAGGCTGTTGAATTATCCTTGTGAGAAATGCTAAATCATGAGAACTAGGGGGGGAAGAAGATGAGAAGTGAGAGATTTGAGACCTATCAAGCTTCCATATATCTCTCTGATCTGTTTCTGGTAAATCGAGTGAGTGAGTGGGTGGGTGGGTGAGTGAGTGAGTAGGCTAAGAATTCTTAGAGGTTGTGGGGTAGACAACACTGAAACAGGAAATCGCTGTCAGAACATGCCTGCAGTACCTTCTCATCTTGAAGGACAGTGTTCTGCACAGAGTCCTCTGTGTGCATTTTCTTTTGGATTGACCTGTGTGTCTTATAATCTTTCCAAACTTTATCTGTCCAATTCAAAGTCGAGCTGATGAGGCTGTCTGGGCTGACTGAGTTGACCCTCAGCTCAGAGTGGGGTGGGAAGGTGCCCACAGGGGAGAGAGTATCCTCTGCCCAATGTCAGGCTCACCCTGGAGCAGAAGCTCCAGACCCCTATCACCACGCTGTGCAGAGTGGGGGCTCCCCTCCAACCTGAGGTCCTTCCTTATGGGCTCCAGTGAGAAAATGTGTGTGAAGCCACATAAGAATTGGCATTCCAGGCAAGAAAAGGCAGTGACCCGTCATCAATAGGTCTTGTGAGTTTGACTTAAGCATTGTAAATGTTTTAACTGTGTTAGTCCAGGTAGACTAGAGAAACAAATTCATAGGCTCTCATGTGTATAAGAAAGAGCAGCATTATATTAAAGAGTAGTTTGTATATTAAGAAAACATCCCAGCCCAGCCCAGATCAAGTCCATAAGCCCTATATAACCCTATCCGATACCAGTCTATAATTTCTTCAGACTCACGAAATACATGCAGTGATGCCAAATGCTGGAAAATCACAAGCCAGTGGTTGGGAAGTCTTGTGGATCCAGTGACAGTGGAAGCATCTCAGTGCTGGCATGAGTCTCCATGTGGCTCCCCCAGCTCCGGGGCTTTGGCTTCCATCAGTGTAGCTCCATGTGGCTTGTCAGCAGGAATACCAGGCAGAGAGTATGTCTGCCCTCCAATGAGCTATTTATCTCTTCCCACCCTCCAAATGAGGTTATCAAGCTGCGACCTGATTGACAGGAGATTATGTGACTACCACATAACTCTTGCATATCCCTTTGAAACAAGAATAAAACACTTCCTACCAGCTGGTGTATAGCTTGTTTTCATTTCTTAGAGACTGAGATACCGTTCCTCCCCCAGTCACCAAACCCAACCCACTGCCCTCTAATCCAGTCCAGTTCATAGTGTCCCTATGGGACAGAGAACTACCCAGAGAGGGTAGTCTTTGTGGAAGCAGACTGCCACGTATTTCTCCTGTGGAGTGGCTGATGAATTCAAACAGCCCTAGAACCACCCTCTTATGAACTGACTGCATCGTCTTTCTAATTTTGATCTCATGTATTTAACCTGGGTGACACTTGCTCTGCCAGAGCTTGACTCTGGGCATTTAGGCTGCACTCACCACCCCTGTTCACACAGCTGGGCATTACTGCTTCCAGACTAACAAGGGTCCTCCAGCTCCTGGGAAACCAGGCCATGACTCACAGGGGTTGAGAGGAAATGAATTGCATAGTCTTTTCAAATAGTGTGACTTCTTGCTCATTAGTGTTAGGAACTCGTTGTCTCTGAATTCCCTGGGGCTTCCGTGTTCTCGTGGCAGTGCTGATTCTTATGGTTTAGTACTGTGCCTCTGCTCTGCGCCAGCCCAGGCTGAAGCCCTCGGCATGTAAGATGTACTCTGACCCCTTGAGCCCTGAAGCATTCGTTTTATACATCAGGAAAGTGAGACACGTGCTCTCTTGTCACTAGCCTGGCATCACAGTGAGAGCTGGAATTGGAACCTCATCATGTGGCTCTGCAGCCATGTCTTCACCTTGCGCCTCTTCTCCCCGGCAGGTGGAAACTTGGGGCTGAGCAGACAGGCTGTCCGAGCTAGGATTTCTGTCCCTGGTTTGGTAGCAGTCAGAGATGTCAATGAGGAAAGGTCTATTGGAATCCTAGGGTCCTTTCAGGCTTCTCCACAGTGGAAGTATATGAACAGAACTCCCTCTATGATAAAAGCTTTCATCAAGAGGGTCCACTCTTTACATGTTGTTTTGTGTTGTCTCTTTCTTTAGGTTAAAGAGACCAAGTGGCATGAGCAGCCTCCTGGGGAAGATTGGCGCCAAGAAGCAGAAAATGAGCACCCTCGAGAAGTCCAAATTGGACTGGGAAAGCTTCAAGGAGGAAGAGGGGATCGGAGAAGAACTGGCCATCCATAATCGAGGGAAAGAGGGGTGAGACGGGAAGATGTGGTTCTTTGGCAAACCTCTCACCCCAAACCCCACTCCCTGCCATCCAGTTAATTCCCACTCCCGGCAGCCCCCAGGGCAGGGTAAACTGTGCCTTGTGTTTTCCAGACAGAACTCTCTTTACAGAGTAGAAAGGCTCAGCCCACGGAGCAGCCAGTGGTTTCAGACTGCTGACTTTACAGCCCCATGTATAACCACTGTGCCACCAGGGTTCCTTCGCAAAACCTTAAAATAAAAATCCATACTCAAGTCGATGCTGACTTGTAGCAACCTTCCAGGACAGAGTAGAACTGCCCCCTGTGAGTTTCCAAGACTGTAACTGTTTTTGGAGTAGAAACCCCATCTTTCTCTCTCAGAGAGGCTGGTGGTTTTGAACTACCAACCTTATGGATCACAGCCCAATTCGTAACCACTATGCCTCCAGGGCTCCTTTGCAAAACCTAAGGACTCTGGAATCATTCATTGCAAACTGCTCAACATAAGCATTAGGAGAGAAGAAAGTCGTAGTTTGTCCACAAAGATCTGTAGGGCTGGTGCTGCTGGCAAGAGCCCCTGAGCTGGCAGGAAGAAGGGACAGCACTTGCTCAGGGAACCCTCTGGGCGGTGGAGTGGAATTGATGCCGCAGGGACCTATCAGTTGCCTGGTCCAGTCACGTGGAGGAATCTGGGTCCCTCCCACAGCCTTGACCTGATCTAAATCATCTTGCCTGCTGTGAAGCCAGACCAGCTCCATGGTTACTAAGCAGAGCCACCAGAGTGCCTAGATGCTGTTGTAGTCTGATGGAAATCTTTCTGTCCGTGACATGGTCCATGTGTGACAGGCCATTGCTTGCACTTCATAGAGTGGAACCTGGAACAACATGGGGTGTGTGCAGTGTGCCCACTTCTTCTGCACTCAAAAACCCACTTATGATTGATAGTTGGCTCTTCAACAACATAGGCTGACCCCACTCACTCACACGGGAAGAGAATCCACCTAAAACGCACGTGATTCTCCTCTCTACCATGAGCAGGGTGCAACGGCAAGGAGCCAGTGGTTCCTGGAGAGCCACTCGGATGGCTTGGCGTCAGATGGTGTTTTAAGCAGATGCTCACAGCACCTGAATTTACTGTAATAGCAACAGGAAGGGAAATGCTGAGTGCAAGTGGGCCAGCCAGCTCAAACTCATGCTCTTCAAGAGGGGGGGTGGGGTGGGCGGGGAACAACAACAAGAAATGGTGAATAGCGGGGTGCCTCAGAAGGAGCTAAGGGACGAGATGGCTGTGGAAGTGGGTCCCCACACCCTCAGTGAGGGGAAATTGTGAGTGCTAGCCACCCTTCCCTCACTGGGTGGTTGTGAGGGTTTCATGAGATGATGTGTAGCAGCTGTAAAGAGAGAGCTATCTGGATTAGACCTATGTATGTGATGTACGGAGCGCACTGTGCAGAGTGCCTGTCTCACAAAGCCAGTCCATTGGGACTAGCGTAGAGTAACTCTGCAGGAGTGGAACTGCTCCTGGGGGTTGGACTACCGTACACCTCTACTGGCACAGACAGCCTCATCTTTCTCCTGTGGACTGCCAGCCCTGTGCTTAGCTCACAGCGTCAGCAGGGCTCCCTCAGTCACATAAAGCATTAAGCAGAAGTCATCACTAAATTACAATAAGCTAAGTGACAATAAAGTTCGGCTGGCTGTGTGTTGGCATCATATTTCTAAATTTGCCTTCAAAGTTATTTGAACCCACAAGCTATCAGATTAAGACAAGTGGAAATTACTTTGTGCACTTGTTTACACTTCTGGGTCAGTCTGTCAAGGTTAGAGTGTCACTGGATCATTAACCGTGACTCTGGGGAAGGCCAGGCCTCTGACTCTCCAGGAGTAGATGACTTTGACATTCTCCCTCAAACTCCTTCCACTCCGAGAATAAACTCGGGGAACTCAGCTTCTTCCTGCTCTCGGCCTCTGCCACTAACCTGCCAGTGTGCATCCTCTGTCAGTCCCCTGTCCTGGTTATCTAGATTAGAGGACAACTGCTCTGCTCAAGCTAGTGGAGGTCTTGGACAGTCCGTGGGGCTGTTAAAGATAAGGAAAGCATAGAAAACAGAATGGAGACTGAAAGAGAAATTGAGGCTAATCCGGACATCTGCCTAGTGAGTACCTCTCAGGAAATGGAAAATGCCTAACTGGGCTAGGGCCAGTTAGTGTAGCGGTTACATGTTTGGCTTGCTAATCTCAATGTCAACAATTCAAAACCACCAGCTGCCCCTGAGGAGAAAGATGAGGCTTTCGACTCCCATGAAGAGTCAGCCCACAGGGGCAGTTCTTTCCGGTCTTCTAGGGTCACTGTGAGTCAGAATTGACATGATAGAAGTGAGTTTGGGGTTTGTTTTTGTTTTGGGGAGGGTGTTAGGAATGTAACTCATGCTCTGTTCCTCCCTCCCTCGCCTAAGGTTTCTCATGTCATGTGGTCCCCGGCCACGCACCACCCACACACCCGCCCCCATGCTACACAAAGGTGATTGTGCTTTCCAGTGCAGCCTGGTGACTTCTGTGCCCTATCTCCCTTCTTTCCCCCTACCTTCCTAGTGCCACCCCGCCTCCACTCCCTTCCCATTCCTGTCTCCTGCCAAAGGCACCCACACCTGGTCCCTGGAGAGCCACTGTTCTTTCTCACCTGGGCGGTGATTTCCTGGCCCTGAGGGAAGGCCCACCCGTCTGCGGTCAGGTTGCAGAGACCTTTATCAGTGATACACACTCCTCAGGCATTCTGATGCCTAGTCAGGGACAAGAATCGCTGCAGTCAGAGGACAGCAGGTGTACCTTCCCAGCAGACAAAACCGGAGAGCACACAGGTGACGCCAAGAAGCAACTAGTACCGCACTGAGGGGAGGAGGAAGCACAGGGGCTAAGGCAGTAAAGTGTGGCCTGAGGCCAGCTGGGCCTAGGTCCTCTGCGGGGGCGTTGGAAGGGCAAAGCAGCCCCGGTGGACAGGACATTCGGGCATCCCCAAGGGCCATACCCAGACAAAAAGGACAGGCACTGGTGTCAGAAGAAGGGAGTCTGCTCGCTGCTGCCCCCCACCAGTGCCCACGCACTCTCTAGGGCCTTTCTGGGCAACTGGGTGCTTCCTCCCTTTAAGCCCTTTCCTGGTGCACATGTCTCCCAGGCCTGGGGAATTTCCCACAGTGGTGGCAGAACCACTTGGGGTCATCTTTTCCCAGTGACCCTGGATGGACTCTTCATCATCTGGGATTTTCAACTTAGCAAGCCCCAGAGCTGGGTTCTGGGCACCCCCATCTTTTCTACACTATCTTTTCCCAGGGCCTTGCTGCTCTCCCACCCCATTGATGGTCATGGGCCTTCACGATGGGAGATGAGTTGTTGAGGGGGATGGGGGGCAAGCAGAGAGAATTATTTTCTTTCTCCAAAGATGGCTGGATCCATGACCCCCTGGAGTCTTTCCAAAGCTGCCTGGCTGGGAGGGGTGCTGTGAAGAAGAACGGAACTTACTCTCATGGCCCTTCCGCCTGGCTGAGAGATGTCAGAGGGAAGCACTCTCCCAGAAACTGCTGGCGGCCAGTGCAGCATGTGGCTGACGGCTCCTTTCTACTGCGTTTCTTATGGCCGGAAAGGGCCTATCATTCCATCTGTTCTGAGCCAGTGTGTTCTCACTGCAGAGTGTTGCCATTGGGGGGTGAGCGTCACCCACATCTCTGCTCACACCTTCGCCACAGGGAAACCTTGCTCAGAGAGACCCTTGCTGCAGACTTCCTGCACTGCTCAGCAGTGCCCTGTTTTTGCAGGCCTCTTTTGGGCTTCCAGCCACTGGGTGGCCCTGTGATGGAGCTTTGGGCTGTCTTCACACCCCACGCTCTTTCCTATCAAGGACCTCTGACCTTGCAGAGAATGGACATTCCAGACAGTAACAACTGACATCGTCCCTGGCAGCACTTTGCCCTCCTCTTGCCCTCACCTCCCCCCCTCTCTTCCCCCTCCCTGCACATTGACCTCAGTCTCAGGAACATTGCAGCTGGAAAAGTGATTTGGGTCGGAGGATCAAAAAGATGTCACCCTGTTGTGTCTAACCTAGTTTTGAAGCGAGACGCTAACCAATCCCTCTGGTTCTTGATTCTATTAACACACTTGATTAACCTCGGCCCAGAAGAGCTGCTCTCTGAACAGATCCTCATCGGGAGGGGTGATCCACATCCCCCTCTCTCCAGTTCCCTGTAGGCTGGGCAGAACCAATCTGGGGCCCATTGTACTTGGCTGTAACCCACTTAACGTGACTGGAAACATCCAGAGACTTAGTTTAACAGGCCGTGCAATTGGGCCACTTCTGAAGTGAGGGCCGCTTCCTCTTTCTGGAGCGTATGTCCTGGATCCTGGGTCCTGAGACTAGCGAAGCAGTGAAGTCAGAAAGGGGAAGTGGGAAACTCGAGCCGCTCCCACAGCTCTTGGTGGTTTCTTCGTTCCCAAGCCTTGCCCTGGTGTCATCCACACTGAGAGTTGAGAAAGTTTGTGGTAAAGTTCCATTTTCTTTCCATCCTATTGTTCTGTGAACTTTCTTATGCCCCCTCTCTTGTCTGAGGGAGTCTTGGTGGCATGGTGGGTTACGCATTGGTCTGCTAACTACAAGGTTGCCAGTTCAAACCCACCATCTGCTCCTCAGAAGAAAGAGGAGGCTTTCTACAAACTCCCTTGAAGATTTACCACTCGGAAACCCACCAAAGCAGTTCTCTCTCCTGCAGGCTCGCCGAGCCAGAACAGACTCAATGGCAGTGAGTTTTGAGTTCTGACTGCCTGAGGAGCTATGGTGGTTTTTATTCCCATTTTACAAAGAACGGGAAGTGATCAAGCATAGGTAATTAGTATCTTGCCCAAAGTCATGATAAGAGATGCTGTAGAACTGCACTTCTCAACCTGTGGGTCGCAACCCCTTTTGGGGTCGAATGACCCTTTCACAGGGGTCGCCTGATTCATAGTAGCAAAATGACAAGAAGTAGCAATGAAAATAATTTTGTGGTTGGGGGCGGTCATCACAGCATGAACTGCATGAAAGGGTCGAGGCATTAGGAAGGTTGAGAAGCACTGCGGTAGAGCGTGGCCTGGAGCCTGCCCCCATCAGCAGCAACACTGCACTGGCTCTCCGAGGACGGGGCCAGGTCCATTGGCGGTTGTGTTCCGGGGCAGTTCTTAGCAGTAAACTTACGGGAGTTGTAATGAAACAAAGAGCCAGATCTGTGTGGGGCCTTTGTCTGGTTGCTGTGGAGAATTCATTCGCAGCCTGCAGATGGACCTTCATTGCCAGTGAGACTGCCCCAACCCTGACTTCGGCCTGCACCCGCCTCCTTGGTGCCCAGCCTATGCTCAGGACAGGGTCAAGGTCAACTGGACTTAGGAAGGCCATTGGCTGCCAGTAAGTACCTGGTTTGAGTGTCACTTCTTCTTTAAGGGAATGTCAGGAAGAAGCATCACAAACTCACGGCCTCATCAGTGCTCTCCTAGTGCCCCACTTCCCCTACCCTCAGGCAGGTAGCGCTGAGCCAGGCCCTAAATTCCTGCTGCACCCACAGGAGCACCAAAGTCCACCAGAACACTAACACCACCTCCACCACCACCACCCCCAAAAAAGCCCTCCCCCAGGCTGAGCGAGCTGTAGACAAGGAGGGGAGCCTGGGAGTGAGTTCACTCTGCTAGGTGTCCAGCTCCCCACCAGCTTTCCTTGGACCCACTTTCTACAAGGGCCCCCAGTGTCTGGCCCGGGAGGAAGACAGGAGGTGGTTCAGCTCTCAGGTCATGGGTGTAGGAGCTGTTCTGTCATGGGAGCTCCAGCCGAGGCTGCACAGGGTCTCTGACTCTCAGAGTTGATGCTATGCCTGTACCGTCCCCACCAAGGGCCTTCAAAACATACCTGGTAAAATTGCCTGTGCAAAAAAGTAAATAAAATTGCCTGTGAAAAGACCAGGGTGCCCTTCTGGGAAGCCTTCCCACCCGGCACCAGCCTCACTAGGCCATTCTCAGCTTTGCCCCATCTGACAGCCTCTGCTAGTCTGGGGAGAGGAGATGTACAGGCAAGTGTCAGGACAGTGGGCCCTTCACAGGTGAGCATCTGAGTATGGAATCCTCCCAGTCGGTTGGTGTGGGAGAGGCTGGCCCAAGGGCTTCCAGCGAGTTTGCTTCTGTTTGACTCCCTGAAAAGAATTGGCTAACTATCTCACTTCCCCAGATAGATTCAGAATCATGTCAACAGTCAACAAGCTCCCCAGGTTATAGACGGGTATGTAAGAATCACCTGGGGGATTATCACAATGTAGATTGTTTCCATATGTGTGCACCTGTACCCGGCAGGTGCCAGAGTTCCAGCTCCTCCTCCCCTGGAAGGTAAGGCGCTGCTGCCCTCTCCCTTTACCTGCAGAGGTGTTACCAGCTCAGATACAGAATTCTGAGAAATTGCAATCCAGATAAATATTGAATTGGTTTTTTACTGTTAAGTATGAGAGGAAATACCGATGTCTATTCCTGTGAAGGTTTACTGAGTTACAGGGCGCTGCATGGGTTATACATATTAAAACCCTTTGATTTGCTGAGTCTGGTCCCAGCCTGCAGAGAGGCACCCAGGTGCCTGAACCTGGCAGTATTCTCACCATGGAGGTGGCCATGTGACGGCAGAGGCACATTTTCCAGTGTACCACAAAAGACAAACTAGTGTAGAGATTCAATTACGATTCCCATTTCCAATGGCAGTTTTGCTCTCTCGATAGGTTAATTAGAGCAGAGCTTTTCTCCCTCCCAGGCAAATCTCAGGACCCTCTCTGGCACAGAGGTGTATTAAGATACAGATGCAGCTGTGCCCTATTAGGCAGCCAACCGCCTGCCTCAGCACCACCACCGTGTGCTCCCTCCCTCCAGGCCACTCAGCTCAGAAGCGAGGTGCCAGCAGAGTGTGGTGTGTGTGTGTGTGTGTGTGTGTACTGTTGGCACAGGGGCACGTGATCTCATCCTCTGAGGGGCCTTCAGAGAAGGCCTGTTCTGTCTCCTGCAGAAGCAACCTGGCCCGGATTAGCTTCTGAGAAGAGAAGGCAGAGTGAAAGAAAAGTGTTTACCTTCTAACAGGGAGGCTACAGTATCAGTCCTGACAGAAGTAGTACCTTTTTGGTAGTTGTTAATACTGTTGCTTTTTAAAAAATTATTATTATCAACATCTTGATAAATTTGATCTTTGTTTTTGATGGTTGGACACATTCCATATAAACTCAGAGTTATTTTCATATGCATTACTGATATGATGTAACACATGCACACACCCAGAGCCAACAAAGATAAGAACCCTGTCTTCAGTGCAGTTCATGGTAACGGGACTCCATCATTGGTCGGGGCTCCTTGCACTTCACTGGCACAGCAGCCTGGGGCGGTTTTTACTTCCAACTCTTTCCTCCCATTTTCAGATGTGCCTTTTTCTCATGTTTCAGCCTACAGCTGCAGAAAGAAGAACTTACTCAACACACCTCTGATTTACAGAGCTGCACAGCCAATGGCAGATGGCAAGGCCTCACGGGATTTGTTACATTCTTCACCAGGGTCGCCTGACTGTCTAGGATTTGAACCCATGGGGACTTAAAATGTTCTGGGCCTTTCCCCTTCAATCTCGTCACAAATTTGCAATGTCGTCTTGCCACAAGTCTCTCCTGTCTTTTCCCTTTGATAAATTGTTGCCTTTATTTCGTTTCATGCCATTCACATCTGAATCAGAAATCCTCCTGTGGCCCAAGAGTCAGCCGAGTGGATGCCCCTCAGAGATGCTGGCTGGGTCCCTCTGTCCACACTGTGTGGGGAGCAGGATGATACAGGGAGGATTCAGCTGACAGACGCCTTTCTCGTCTTCTTCCAGGTACATCGAGCGGAAAGCCTTTCTTGACCGTGTGGACCACAGGCAGTTTGAAATTGAGCGAGACCTCAGGCTGAGCAAAATGAAGCCCTGATGGGAGGAGGGAAAATCAGTAGCAGCTTCATCCTGTTTACAATGTGAGCTTCTTGTGCATCTGTGAAATGTGTCTGGTTTCTCTCCTCAACGTTTCCGGACAAGGTCTTTTCTCCTACTTTGAAATACTGCCTGTGTATCTTGCCTGTCATGCAGTTTCACTCACTGTTACTTTTAAAAGTTTGTCCTTTAAAAAAAGAAAGAAGTCAAGAAAATAAAGCAACGCCGGGGAGAGGCTGGCGAAGATGATAGCTTCCTGCATTCCTTGCCTTCCCGTTAGCCTGTGACAAAGCCAGTCCCAGGCCAGGCTGCAGTGAGGAGAGCTGGTCCACCGCATGTGCATTTCCCAGGGTCCCTGGGCCCACGGGACTCTCCTGGAGGTGGCCTTGCCATGAGACTCTGAGAAGGCGCCCCAGTGCCGGGGCAGCCAGGACCCCGGGCAGCTTGTGCTCCACCTGCTCTTCCGTCTTGGTGTCTTTCCCTCCCCAAATGGCCTCAGGCCTCGAGTGAGGATTTATAATTGTTGAAGTGGAGGGTTTTTTCCTCTCGGACTTTCTCCTCTTCCCAAAGCTAGTCAGCTTCAAGTGTGTTCCCACCTCAGTAGTTCTTTGTCAGTTTGTCAAAGAAGATTCAGAGGAGCCGTTTCCCTTTTATACTCTGCAGAATAAAT